GCCTAAACACATGTTTTGTATTTTCCCATTCTTCTGTTTTTTCTTCTCTTTCATTGCTCAAAACACCATCCAAAACATGGCTTATCCTCTCTCCACAAGCTCTCGTTGGATCGTGGACGAGAACGGTCAACGGGTTAAGCTTGTGTGCGCGAACTGGCCATCGCACCTCCAGCCCGTGGTGGCGGAAGGGCTGAGCAAGCAACCGGTGGACACATTGGCCAAGAAGATAGTGGAAATGGGTTTCAATTGTGTTAGGTTAACTTGGCCGTTGGATTTGATGACCAATGAGACATTGGCTAATAATGTCACAGTGAGACAATCTTTTCAAAGCTTTGGTCTTAATGATGACATTGTTGGCTTCCAAACCAACAACCCCTCCATTATTGATCTTTCCCTCATTGAAGCTTTCAAGGTACTCTTTTAAGTTCCAACTCAATCGATTCTAGCTAGTAAATTAACATATGTGTTTCATTTTTTTTTCTCAGTTAGGAATTTAGTATTAATGTGAGGTTTATTTGTTCTAGTTACGTTGCTATATGAATTTATATAACCAACATGAAAATTAGTGTTTTAAGAGATTGATTTAATTTCGACAAAAAAAAGAGATTGATTTAATTATTCACTGCATACGTATATATGAATATGTATCATACAGTACTTTGCTGATAAACAGAAAACAAAAAATGTAATAGTGTGTATATATATTTAACGTATTTATTTCCATGAAACATCGTTCGACTTGGACAGTAACTCCATCCATGAAATATAAGATGGGATCATGGGTGCATCCTCAAAACCTAAAAATTAAAACATCTACGATCTACAAGTATGAGTTCTTTTAGATAAAGTTCCAGTTTTTATATATGTAACATTTGTCTTATAGTCTTCCAATTTCCAATTTTTATATTTTTTTCCTCTGTTTTTTTTTTATATATAATGATCGTGTAAAGGTTTAAGATTTTAAACTAACAAGGCATATGGGGTGGTAGATGGACTTATGTTTTAACCTTTTATTAGGGAAAGATATCTTTAAGCATCAAAATGTATCTGTTCAACTAATTAATTTTCAAAGTTCAGTTTATTTAATCAGTAAGACTTCTATTCATTTTTTATAATATTGATAGAAGAACGGTGTTTCAAGCTTCAATGTTGCTTATCAAACTACTACACGTATTGAAATTGTATAAGAACCCAATCTGACTATAGAACACGTCAACTATTGAAAGAAAGTTTTACATATACAAAATTCATAATCAATTTTAGTTGGGGTTTGGTTGGGAATTATTACAAAACCTTTAGTTATATAAAAAAAAAATTGAAAAGGAGGAAACATAATATGCTGAAATAATGAAATATCTCAATAGTCAATTTCTTAATTAATATTGTTTGGTAGTGGGTAAATGAAGTCAATGTGTAACTTCAAGACACATTACACTCGTGAAGTTTGTTTGGCCTTTTTCTTTTTATGCTCAAATGGACTAATTATATTCTCAAGGTCTTGTTCTAATCTAAATGGGTATATTTAGTGTATTCATATGAATTCTAAATAAGTATTCATATACCCAAAAGTTGGTAGTGTATTTAGTGAAATGTGAATGATGATTATTTTGACTTTTTGTGCAGATGGTGGTTACTACATTAGGAAACAATGATGTGATGGTGATTTTAGACGACCATCTAACGAAACCAGGGTGGTGCTGTGCCAACAACGATGGTAACGGTTTCTTCGGTGACCGGTTCTTCGATCCCACCGTGTGGACCGCCGCTTTGAGTAAAATGGCTGCAACCTTCGATGGTGTCTCTAATGTTGTTGGCATGAGTCTAAGGAATGAACTTAGAGGGCCTAAACAAAACGTTAATGATTGGTTCAAGTACGCTAACTATTTACCCTATGCATATATTCATATATTTTAACTATAGAGTGATTTGAGATGTTTTCATGTGATTTTTCG